AGCTGACCCAAACTGGCCAAAGGGCTATTCCATGCCATGTGATGTCATGCTCAGTGTATGAGCTGGGGGGAGTTGGCTGGGGGGCAGCAATCGCTGCTCAGGAACTGACTGGGCGTCGGTCGGCAGGTGGTGAGCGGTTGCATCACTTGTTTTTTGTTCCCCTGTCTCTTTCTCTCTCTCTCTCTGTTTTACTTTCCATTACAATTTATCATTATTTTTATTATTATTATTATCATTATTATTATATTATTTCAAGTATTAAACTGTTCTTATCTCAACCCACAGGTTTTCTCACTTTTGCTCTTAACACAAGTTTTATCTTACTTTTACAAGAAGCTTGAGACAGAGATGTAGGGATTGGTCATGTGGCTTTTCATAAGCAGCCACTGTGGTTGCCTGTGGTTTGACTTGCTCAGGAGCTGCACAGCTACGCTGGCACCATTCACAGCCTGCAGTAACATGTCCCAGCCCTCAGCCGGACTCCTTCGCTCAGGATTGGAAAGTGGCTAAGAGAGGCTGCATAGCCACTGGTCAGCCCTCTGCCCTGAGGGCAGAATTGGTGCATGTCTGCTCCAAAAGACCACATAGACCCTATGGGGAATACCAGCTTCACCCATTGCATAGACAGCTGTCTAGGCTAAGCTAGTTCTTAGCCTCGTTCAACTGAGTGTAGTCAGTGGAGAGATGGAAGTACGTTTACAGTGTGATTCACCACCACCGCCACCTTAAAATGGGATTATCCCTATCTGGAAAGTCTCTCTTCATGAACTACGGAGAAAACCTTGCTTAGCTGAATAGGGTAAAAGGGTAAGTCTTAGCCATCTGAAGTTAAATCAATCCTGAAATAATGATAATGATAATACAGTAGTTGAATGATTACTTTGTATTTCCTCAAAATTCAGTGACAAGGGATGGGGGCTCCCAAAGGATAATCCATCGCATCGGAGAGGAGGTGACTAGCTGAATAAGATGAAGCACTCTTCTGCCTATGCTATGAACAGGGCATAAGTAGTCACCCAAGAACAGACACCAAGCTTTACGTCACTTATGTTAACTGAGATGAATCCCACGAAGTTTACCAAACGTGAATTTCAGCCTGCAGGTTGCAGTGCAGACGTGAGCAGGGAAGGCAGAGTTTGTGCTTTCCGCAAGGTGCCCTGTTTTCAAGACCATCCATTAGCAAGACCACAACTTTTCACTATGGCCCACATGAGATCTTATTCTTTAAAACTATCTGTTGTTCTTACTGACTTCTACCATGCTAAGAACCAGGAAAATTTGCCCACTTGAAGCTGCGCCTTGCTGCTTGCAGTGTCTGAGCTACCTCTTTCAAAGCTAGCTCGCGCATCCCTACGTCACACGGCAATGGAGACATACCATCAGTGCTAGAGGAGAACCCCGCTGTGCAGTTTCACACTCAAGTCACATTGATTTCCATGGGCAGATTTCACCCAGCAGGAGTTGCTGGCTGTATCAAGGTTTACAAACATAAGGGGCTTGTGCACGCTGGCCTTTATTACTTTTTTTTTTTTTTTTTGGTCATTCTTTTCTTTGCTTTTATAAATTGTTTGTTTCAAATATGCTTTTCCAGGCAGGATCAGGGAACATTCGCATTGATTACGAATTCTTTCCCATCTCCGTCACTCATCTATTTTGGTAACTCAGGCAAATTACTTGACTCTCTGCTTCTCTATCCCTGTTTTCTAATGTCAGCACATCAGTGCTTTCTAGCACAGTGAACTTATAATGTCTTTTTAAATGCGGGTATTTTTTAGCTCTGCATGGTATTACCACAAAAAGAGCCACCTGGTATAACTGAATTTGAAACACAGTGCTATGAAATATTTATTCTGTATCTACACTTTCTTTTCTGCAGTATGAGGATTTCCTTGCATTTCTCTAGGTTGGTTTGCAGGATCTATTGCTATCCCAGTATTTGGAAGACAACTAATGTTGAAGTAATAATAAGAAATAATCTATTCCTATCAACCTCATTTAATTTAAGCGAGCAAGGCTAGCAGGTGGTTCTCAGAAGATCTCATTAGCCACTCTGATTGTCTCTAACACCTCTTGTAAGCAAATGTCTCATTACCGTGGATATTTGCATATCCTTTACTTTCGTACAGAGTGCCATACATCAGAGAACTATAAACCTATTACTACATGTCTTCAGATTTACGTGGTAAATACAGTTCCTACTGCGTGGACAAACACTAGCTATCAAAGACAATAAAATCTAATAGTGCTCAATGTGATCTTGATTTCCATCTTTAGTACTCTGATTGTGATTGTATCACAAAACTTTTCAAACCCCAGTCTTTGAGCCTTTTGGAGATGCTCTAGTGAATGACAGTATTCACACAATGAGATTCCCATCTGGCAAAGGAAAAAACCTGGGGTAGGAGTGGACGAGAGAGGAGAGGGAAATGCAAAGGATTCCTTTTTTCCAGCTCCTGTGATGAATTAACAAGCATTTTTGCAGTAATATTGTATTCTGGTGGGTTTGCAAAGCTGAGTTTTTTTTAGCTAGTAGGACCAGGATTTTATATGGTTATTAATTTACATGATGTGATCTGATGCTGCATCCTTTAATGTGAAAGAATGATTATCAACTCCTTATCATATGCCATCATTATAAAATCATAACAGTGTTGTTTGAGACTGACCTAATTCTTCAAACACTGTATCACTCAGAACTGCCCTACCCACCACACATGGTAGTATCTGACTTATATTTTGTGAGAAAACATAGGGCTTGATTCCCCGCCACTGAAGCTGATGGAAAAAATACATCAAGTCCAGCCCTGTGCACATACATTCTGCACTGATGGAAATCTGCTACTCTCACCAAAGCTGATGAAGCCCACACTGTTTTTACAAGTTGATCACCCAAACCTCATTATATTGTACTTGTGCCAGGCTGAAAGTATGACACTTTGAAGTATTATCCGCTTTTACCGAAGATCTCATTTTTCCTGGCACATAGTCAAAGAGAGAGTATATCAGCAGAAAACCACTTAGAAAATCGTGGAGCTTGCGGCTTTTAACAGTTGATAAGGTTATGTGTTCGATCTCAACATCAAATGCAAATAAGTAGTGGCGATATTCAGATTTAGTTTTTCTTTCTTTTCCT